GCAGATGCCCAGGCTCGCCGAAAGGAAGCCCAGGATTTGCTGCAGCGGCATGAAGCCAACAGCATCGACAGACTCAAGTTCTGGCACTTTGAACCAAACGACGACAAGGCAACACCGGAAGAGAAGCACAAGGAGTTCCTCTCCAAACTTGTGACGCGGTTGTTGTATGCTTGCAACTACCAACGGTCAGAGTTGGAGAGACAGTACCAGGACCTGATGCAACAGCATCAGGAGTTGGCACAGCTCCACCGCATGGTGCAGAGCCACGAGGATGCAACTTGGACACTCAATGCCCGATTGTTGGACCTGGAACAGGCTGTACCAGGACCAGCTGCTGGAGCTTCCAGCAGTGCACCCTCAAGCCGCCAACTGGAGGACCGCGTTGACCACGTAGTRGCAATGCTCGGCGACATCAGCACCTTCGYTGCGCCGACCACCACCATCAKCAATYAGCTGCATACATTGAAGACCGAGGTCCAGAAGCTGCAGTCGACAAACGCGGACGACAATCCGAAGATGTACAAGATGCCAACTTTCAGCCTGGAGAGGTTCGACGACTACACGCAGCAGGATCCTGTCCTCTCGTGGGAAGCATTCACAACACAACTCAGGATTCTGCCAGTAGCCAAGCACGCGTACATCGGCGCCCTGTTCCTGAACTCAAAGGGCGGATGCCAGACCTGGTTGAGCCACSTGGCAACCTCCCACGGCGTCGACGTACCAGACTTGAAGGACGTAATCACATGGGAGGAACTGACACGGCTGTGGAAGAAGCGGTTCATCGTCGATGATGCGCCGGCACTCGCCATCAACCGTTTGTTCACCATATCACAGGGCAACATAGCAACACGGGACTGGCTCACGGAGTGGCAGAAGATTGCGGTTGTGCCCAATCTGAACCTACCATTCGAGCATCTACGCCGTGAGTTCTACAACAGGTCCTGTGCGGCATTGAGCCAGGCTCTTGGTGATCGTGAGCAGTACTCAACCTTCACGGAGATCATTGGCAAAGCGAGGGAGATCATCAAGACCAACAGTTCAGCTGCACACGAGAAATCAACATCATGGCAGTCGACCTATGTGGAGAAGGTGCGAACTGGTCCGCGACAGTAGCACTTCGCTGCAGTCCAGCAGGACAGTGGAAATAACCCAGCAGCCAATCCAGTATCAAGTGACAGAGATCAGGCGGCCGCTTTCCAGCCGCGAAGCACCAACAAGTCCCGCAACAATGGGAAGGCGAAATCCGCATCGCAGGCCGGAAACGGACCGCCAGGACAGTTTCCATGGGTCAAGTTTGGCTTGACCGAGGCGGAGTATAAGATCCGCGGCCGCTACGGCAGCTGCTATTGGTGCAACAACACTAAGCACAAGACCTCCCTGTGCCAAGATCAGGGCAAGCTCCACGTGCAACAGTCCACCGCGTGCACGGTTTCATCACCATCGGCAACCGATTCGGCAGCTTCGCCGCAACCTATTATCGGGGATTCGACGTCATGGTCAAGACTTGATGAGCTCGATCCGTTGACGTTCACGGACTTCCAGTGGATGCCCGTTCCCTCGACCGGATGATTGCCGAAACCGCGTTGCAACGTGCTTATGGCACGATTGCGGGACTACTTGCACACTGCAGTACCAGCTCCGCTGATGGACGCCGGAGCAGAGGTTGTCGACCTTCACGCTTTCATCGCGAAGATCGACCGCGAGTTCAAGACGCAACGGTACGACGACATCGACGCACCATTGATATACATACGCATTCAGATTGGAGAGGAGACCTGCAGTGCCTTGATCGATTGCGGAGCATCTCGCAACTACATCAGCCAGGACTTCATGGTACGCGCCGGCCTTGGCCCACGTGTCCGGAGGAAGTCCCAGCCTACGCAAGTCACCCTGGCAGACGGTCATACGCACAAGTCCATCGACCGGTGCATTGACAGCGTCCCAGTGTACTTTGCCCCTCACGCAAGTGAGGCGGTGTCCTTTGACATTCTGGACACCAAATT